CGATTGGAATATAAATATCGAATATTTGCTATGCGCTGGCGATTTACTGCCCGAAACACCGAAACAACCCTTGTTGCTGAGGATATTCACGCAGCCCAGCAACTTTTTCTTTTTAGGTGAGGGGGGCTGGCTCCAGCTTGCACACTCCTGGCTCCATCCTTGGATGCCCTTACTCCACCGCATTTACGTTTCGACTGGAACATAAATATCAAATATTTGCTATGCCCTGGCGATTTGCTGCCTGAAACACCGAAACAACCCTTGCTGCTGAGGATATTCATGCAGCCTAGCAACTTTTTCTTTTTAGGTGAAGAGCGTGCAACCGATGATCTCAAGCACGGTGTAATTCATTTTAGAGCAAGATAGCCACATCATGAGCTAATTTCTCTTTGCTTTTTGTGGATAGTGTAATTCACTTTTTTTGCAGAGGACACAATCCAAATTTCTAATTTTTTACTATGCTTTTTAAAAATAAAAGATGGTGAAAAATAAAAGACCGTGAAAAAACTTTAAGTAAATTTGTATGCAACTAACGAGTTCTTGTGAGATTTTTTCATTTCATACAGTTTGTGTTCACATTGATGCCCCAGAGACGGGGCTAGTAATCTCATACAAGGGGGATGGCAATGGAAGAAGTAAAAGGTTGGAGGGGGCAAACATATAAATTTCGTGATCTAGGAGTGCTTTTTGAGAAAAAGTTGGGGGTGGTTGGCTCCAGCTTGCACACCCCTGACTTTGTCCTTGGATGCCCCTTACTCCACCACATTTTACGTTTGCGACTGGAATATAAATATCGAATATTCGCTATGAGCTGGCGATTGAAACGTATTGATATGCATATCTTTGGTATAAATCCTTGCGATGCCAAATATAGATATCTCACATTTATTCCATAAATTCATGCGGTGGCGGTTGAAACGTGTGATACGCGTAAACCTGGTCGTGGACTGTCCCGGTGCCCATAAACAACCGGGTCGGGGATTGCCTTTGAAGCCAGGCTTGGGTTTCACTTTACAACCCAAAAGAGTATTCGGGTCGGGCTTGGGCTTTCGTTTTCCTGATTTCCGAGCCGAGCTTTCACGTGTGTAGGCTGAAGCACGGTGTTCGGGCGGAGCTACTTTTTAGGCCCGGCTTGGGCTCGGACCGATGTATGTCAACATACATGTTGTTGGACTAATGTTTTTCTTAAGTTTATTTCAAGAAAAGTTCAACCTAGGCAAATAGATGGATGGAGAAGTGGAGCCCTCAAGCTACAAAGGACAAGCATTGGAAAAGCTTCAAGACTCTTCATTTTTGGTTCAGTGATCTAGTATCACACTGAGTCCATAGAAAAGCCAATACTATTAAAAGGGATGAGGTTTTGATCATGAGTCGTTTGCTCAAGTGCTTGAAGATATTGCTCCAAAAACCTCAACCACACTCTCACAATCCAATATGTCCAAAACCCTAAAGTTATTCTCGGTCCCACCGAAACATATTCAACCAGACCCACCGAGATACATTAGAGAGAGCCACTGCCTAAACCCTAGAAACTCGGTCTCACCGAGATGGCATTCGATCCCACCGAAGTGCACATGCAAACTTTCTGTAACCCATCGACTTCATTTTTCGAAATTACTGAGTGAAACCATTCGGAATTACCAAAACACTGACAGTGCTTAAGTCAGCACAAACCGGTCACACCGAGTGGATCCATCCGGTCTCACCGAAGCGTTTGAAGTTCAAACCTTTTACACTAGTCGGTGCCTCCGAGTTTTTCACCCACTCTCGCTGAGTTGTGCATAAAGGTGTGTAAAGGCTAGATCTTTGGTGATGGCTATATATACCCCACCCACACCACTTACTCTCAAAGAGAGCAACCAGGACGAAGCCACCACTTCCCATATCCATTTTTTGAGAGAGAACCACCTACACTTGTGTTGAGATCAAGCGATTCCACTCCAACCATTTGATCCTTGATTTCTAGCCCCCTTAAGTTACTTTCCACTCCAATCCTTCTCCCACCACCATGGCAAATCTGTGAGAGAACGATTGAGTGTTGAGGAGGCTATCTTTTAAAGCACAAGAGCAAGGAGTTCAACATCAACAACAACATCTATTACCTTTTGAGAGAGTGGTGTCTTCTAGATTGGTTAGGTGTCACTTAAGAGCCACCAAATCTTATGGAGTTGAACCAAGGAGTTTGTAAAGGGCAAGGAGATCGCCTACTTTGTGAAGATCTACCCCGAGTGAGGCTAGCCCTTCGTGGGCGGAAGTCATGATTTAATAGACAAGGGTGATTCTTCGTGGACCCGTCATGGGTGGAGCCCTCCGTGGACTCTCACAACAGTTACCCTCTGTGGGTTGATGTCTCCATCAATGTGGATGTACTGTGTTGAATAAATTTTTAAAAACACATAAATATCAAATCCAATCAGTAAATGAAGTTCCATCAGTAACCATGTTTTGGAAGAAATTCCTGACATCGGTCAGTGAACCTACTGAAGGAAATATGCCCTAGAGGCAATAATAAAGTTATTATTTTATATTTCCTTATTCATGATAAAGGTTTATTATTGATGCTAGAATTGTATTGATCGGAAACCTTAATACATGTGTGAATACATAAACAAACATCGCTTCCCTAGTGAGCCTCTAGTAGACTAGCTCATTGATCAAAGACGGTTAAGGTTCCCTAACCATGGACATGAGTTGACATTTGATAAACGGGATCACATCATTAGGAGAATGATGTGATGGACAAGACTCATCCGTTAGCTTAGCACAATGATCGTTCAGTTTTATTGCTATTGCTTCTTCATGTCAAATACATATTCCTTCGACTATGAGATTATGCAACTCCCGAATACCGGAGGAATACCTTGTGTGCTATCAAACGTCACAACATAACTGGGTGATTATAAAGATGCTCTACAGGTATCTCTAAAGGTGTTTGTTGGGTTGGCATAGATTGAGATTAGGATGTGTCACTCCGAGTATCGAAGAGGTATCTCTGGGGCCTCTTAGTAATACACATCATAAGAAGCCTTGCAAGCAAAGTGACTAATGAGTTAGTTGTAGGATGATGTATTACGGAACAAGTAAAGAGACTTTTCGATAACGAGATTGAACTAGGTATGAAGATACCGACGATCGAATCTCGGGCAAGTAACATACCGATGACAAAGGGAATTACGTATGTTGTTATAATGCTTCGACCGATAAAGATATCCGTAGAATATGTAGGATCCAATATGAGCATCCAGGTTCCACTATTGGTTATTGACCGGAGAGGTGCCTCGGTCATGTCTACATAGTTCTCGAACCCGTAGGGTCCGCACGCTTAATGTTCGGTGACGATATCGTATTATATGAGTTATGTGATTTGTTGACCGGATGTTATTCGAAATCCCGGATGGGTCACGGGCATCACGAGGAGCCTCGAAATGATCGAGAGGTAAAGATTGATATATAGGACGATAGTATTCAGACATCGGAAGTGTTTTAGAGCGTATCGGGTATTTATCGGAGTACCAGAGGGGTTACTGGAACCCCCGGGGGAGGTATATGGGCCATATGGGCCATAAGAGGGGAGCACACTAGCCCACAAGGGGTGGCTCACCCCCCTTGGCATGTGGCTGAATTGGAGAAGGAAAAAGGGGGGTTCGCCCCCTTCCTTTCTTCTTGGGTGGAAAAAGGAAAGGGGGGGGGGTACTTGGGGAAACCCAAAGTAGGATTCTGATCCTACTTGGGGCGCCCCCTGGCTGCC